AGGCAACTGATACTACAGAAAAACTACCCAAATGCATAACCAAATTCGAAACACCTAAAGGATCTTCATGTAGACCACCATTTCAGTTTAAGGACTAAAGACTATAAAGGAGAAATTGTTAGGTACTTCCAAAATGAATTAGATATGTATACAGTAAGTATAAATAAACTATATTTCAATTTTTATGCCTATCTTATTTTACATAATTTATAATTTATGGTAGATAATATGGTACAAGAGTCAGCTCTGGAATTAGATAATCTAGATTCAAACTGCAGCTGCAGTACTCCTTACTGCGTTACTTTCAGCAAGTTAGGTGACCTCTTTATGCCTCAGTTTCTATTAAGTAGAATAATAGTTATAGTCACACGCTGCTCTGAGAATTCAACAGTACATATAAATTCATGTCCCTATCATATCATGCAATGAATGTTGGTTATTACTAATATTAGTAATAAATGTTAGTTATTACTATTATTATAATACTGATTAACTAAAGCTTATCTAACTGGAATTTCAATTAACCAGAATACTGGCAGCTTTCAGGTTCAAGACAAAAAAAACCAGCTAACTATAAAATAGCAAACTGCATGGTTTAGTCTCTGTTGACATTATTCATCAATTCCAGTTTCCTTTGTCTGAATCCAGAGCCATAGTCCTCCACAACCAAAATTAAAAATTGCATTCCCAAGGTATTCTGATTAATTGAGGTTTAGATCTGAAATTATTTTTAAATTCCATGTGAAACACATAAAAGTTCTCCCTAAACAGAGGGGTAAATTTAGAATTTCATTTTTAAATGAATTGAAAATTAATGTAAGTGAAAGATGAGATTAATATATCTTACTAAGGGAACAAAGAGTATGTCTCTGTTTCCCTACATAAAGACTTTATCTTCATATTCTTTGAAAAAAAGGTTTAAAAAAAACTTTTAATAGAACTTTAAAATCAGTATTATGCACATTTATCTGAATAGGGTAAAACTGACTTGAATGAGATATATAATGTCCCTGTAGATAATACCAATTTTTATGCTAGGGAACAATCACTAATATATTTGTTTTTACTCGAAATACAAAAGTGCAGTCAACATCAAAATCCAGATTATAGGGAACTGCATAGGATAAACAATCTGGTTTCTTCAACAAATAAATTGCAAAGCGGAACAAAAGAAAAAGACAATTTTTAAAACCTACAGGTAAAACAAAACTATAAGGGTACATGCTCTGGTGATAAAACTATAAACAAATTAAGGAAGGGATTACCATAAGACTCAGGAGAGTATAAATCTTACAAAAAGAGGAGGGAGGGGCTTGGGCTTGGGAAGCAGCAAATGGAAGAGCTGGCCAAGCTCTATTTCTTGAACCGAATGGGGGTAATGAGAGTGTTCACCGTTAGTAATATTTCATCAACCCATACATTGTTTTATGTGAGTTTCATGTCTATGGTCTATTTTACAATTTAAAAGGTTTTAAAAATAAAATCGCAATCTAAAAGATTCACCAAAGCAGCTATTTAACATTTTTTTTTCCTGCAAATGTATTCCTTTTTCCCACATTCTCACTCACACCCTTAAATCAAATGCATTACACCTGAATTTTCACAAATAAAAAGTTAAATGACACCTGGGAAGAACCATTTATGGATTAACCAATTGTTAGCGATTGTTAAATGTGGCATAATGATTTTAATTTTTCATCCTTAAGATATATATGACCATGTTTGTACCAACTGACACAAAAAAAGTAATTTTTAGAGTTTAGATGTGATTTCATATACTTTTTTGTTCACTTCTGTCCCAAGAGAAAAGACAACTTTAAGAAAAAACAAAAAAACCTTACAGGGCTCTTAAGGAAGGTGTTATTGGCTGGACTGTTTTGCCCCAAAATGCATATGTTAAACTCCTAACTCCCAGTACCTTGAAATGTAACTGTATTTGAAGATAGGATTTCTAAATAGGTAAGTTAAAAGGTCATTAGGGTGGCCCCTAATCTAATATGAACGGTGTTCTTACAAGAAGAGATGATTAGGACACAGGTATGCACAGAGGGAAGAACATGTCAAGATAGGAAAAAAACCATGTACAAACCAAGGAGCCAGACCTCAGAAGAAACCAACCCTTTCAACATCTCGATCTTGACCTAGCCTCCAGAATTGTGAGAAAATAAATTTCTGTTGTTTAAGGCAGCGACCCAGTCTGTGGTACTTTGTTATGGCAGCCCTAACAAACTAAAAGATATACGTTAATATATCTTTGTATCTTTTAGGGTTTCTTTTTTAAAAGGTAGTGGAGGAAAGGAAAAGGAAAAATATGAAATACTATAATTGTATTTGATTCATAATGTAATAGTGAAAAAGGCTTAAGAAAATTCTGAGTCATTAATAAAGAAAGGAGAAAAAGAAAGGAGAATACTATCAGATTTCACGTAAAAAGAAACATTCCAAAGAGCTAAGCACAGAGGGCAAGACAAGAGGGAACTGGCAGGAAATAATTGGCTACCAACTTTGGATTAATGGGCGAGATTCAGCACTTCAATGTAGTTTCTGGAAAAAACTCAGAGGGGAATTTTGAGCTAGATTGTTAAATGGACTGAAACAAAAAGGAGGTGATAGTTGAGATCAAAGTGGTTTTCTTAAAGGTAGAAAGAAATGTCCTCTGGCCCTAGAGTTTGAATGAAATCTGTATTTATCATTATCCTAGTTTGATAGGCTTAGGAGTTAGGAAAACCATCAACAAGGAAATGCAAGTCTCAGGTTGGAAAATCAGCAAAGATTGTGTGGCAGTCACTGCTTTGTGTGTTCTATATATACCTACAGAGCATAACAATCTCAGAGTGGAGTACACTTTGCTGATTAAGTACAAGTTTTCTGAAAAGGGATGTTACTATAGAGACAGCAGATAGCTGTTTGCTTGATCCACCCTCCACACTCGTATTTGCATTCCATCATTCCACTGACAGACACAGATGGAAACAGACAGTGAGCTGCCTATTTCTTTTCTTCTTTAACAACGGAGTAAGAGATACTCTGTATTCAGAAAAACATTATCATACAAAACAGAGAAGTGAAGCCAAATAAACAGAGATGAGAATAAAAGGAGCTGGAAATTCTAAATCTAGGTAATTTTTTTCCCAACTATAAGCAAAATGACTCCATCCTCCTCTGTCATAGCTAGAAGGATCCTGATATCCTTTTTTCAGGAAGGTAGTAACAAATCAATCAACCAATTAGTCTTAAGTTTAGAATAACTTTCTGAAGGAACTGGAAAATTTTTATATCTAGATCTCTTATAAAAATTAATACATTTTAAGTCTCTATCAATGAGAGATGTATAGATATACAGAGATGTGTTTATTGGAAAAACATCCTAACATCTGGGATTTGCTTTAAAATACCACACACACATAAACACACACACACACGTAAAGAGAAAGAAAAGATCATCAAAATGTTGATAACTGTCAGTGCTGGATGATGGGTATGATGGGGTTTATTACAGTATTATTTTTAGTTCTATACATGTCTGAAATTTTCTGTATTAAAAAGTTTTCTTTTTTAATTTATATATATAATTCAAAAGCCCAATTCTCTTTAGGTTGTCATTTGAATGGGGACAATGTAATTTATTTTGGTTATTGATAGAATTTAGCTTTGAATAAAAAACTTTATTATAGTAATACAGGTAAGTAGGAAAACAACGAATATAGGCTTTATGGAAAAATAACTCAGGAAAATGTTTACAATATGATAGTTTTACTAAAAAACAAGATACAATTTTGTAGATATGATACTACATAAAAATATATATATATGAATATATGCATGATAAAAAACACTAAAAGGAATACAACCAAATGAAAACAAAGTTTAACTCTCAGTGATGAGTTTAAGGATAATTGTTCCTCTTTTGTTATACTTTTCTGTTTACAAGTTTTCTAAAATGAGCATGTATCAAATTTGTAATCAAAAAAAAAAGGAAATAAATAAGAAAAAATGGCATTATAATTCAGATAAGGTAGAATAGATAGTCTGAACACTGTTCAGAAGAAAATTTAAATGCTTGGCCAAAACTCACTACACTAAACATTGATCAACAAGAAGCCCTTATACTTGGGTGGCTTTTAATCTTATATGCTCTCAGATTACATCATCAGTAGACTGGGAAAAAACACACATTCTTATGTCTATAGCTGGAGGAGGCTTTTATTCGTGTTAATATTTTCAGAGTTTACCTGTCATAACCAGTATCCAGAGATTTCTGTCTCTAGGTTTTTGTTTTGTTTTTTGGGGACAGGGTCTCACTCTGTTGCCTAGGCTGGAGTGCAGCAGCGCAATCATAGCTCACTGCAGCCTTGAACTCCTTGGCTCAAATGATCCTCCCACTTCAGCTTCCCTCGTTACTACAGGTGCATGCCACTGCGCCCAGATAATTTTTTTTTTTTTTTTTTAATTTTTTGGCTTGCTATGTGGCCTAGGCTTGTCTCGAACTCCTGGTCTCAAGTGAGCCTCCCAAAGTGCTGGGATTACAAGTGTAAACCACTGCACCCAGCCTATCTGTAGGTATTTTAAAATCCCTGAGATTTCCCTGTAGATCTAATAATTTTACATTTTACCAGGGGAAAGTCTTTCACAACTGACTGCAAAGTCACACACCTATCCTGGACACAAGATTTCACCTCTTGGTTCTTAGTGCTAACCTTAAAGGCAAATTTCAGAAACTATTTTCTGTGATGTAATCTAAAAAGAACTATTTGAAGCTATATCAATCCTGTAAAACGTAAGTCCAACAATTCCTACAGGACACTAAAAATTCTTTTTCTAGTAACTAAAAGTTTATTTTTCACAAGTATGTGATAAACTTTCATATTAAATTATAAAATATTCTTTTAAAACCCTCAAAACTGTACATTAGAAGTATCACTGAAAATTAAAATCATAATCAGTGGTACTTAAAAGATTCTCAATCAAATTTCCCCCAAAGGTAGGAAAATTTCACTTACTTTAACTTCCACAGTCTTGCCTCCATGTTCAATATGTCTCTCTATATATTCAGAGGACAGCAAATCACTGCAACAGCAAAAAGAAATGATGATTAAAGAGGACCCTGAATATGTAAACCATTTACATGTATTTGTTTTAACAATTCTTTAATCCCC